CCCAAAAATAAATAAACTTTGAAAAAAAAATTTAAAAAAAAAAATAAATAAAAAAAATAAAATAAAATAAATAAAAAATAAATTAAAAAAAAAACATGAGGTTTCAGTTGAATGGGCTTCGTAGTTCACAGGGCAGAACCTGTCTGCGTGGGTATCCCAGTTACTGTCCTGACCCTTCTCCCTCTTGGGCACTGAAATCACTTGCGGGTTAACGACATGGCAAATTCACACAGTTCAACGTCACAACTTGTAACTTCAGAATGGTTGCTAATTTATTCCTAATTTTATGAATTTACGTGGCAGAACTTCGATCTGTGTCTGCCGGGACCAAGTGGGTTTTCTGTCACTTCCTAGCGGCACCTGCCTGTGAGAAATGCGACCTTGCCTTTCTCGGCCTTTATCCTCACCAAATCCTTAACATTACAGAAAGAGCTGTGATGGCCTCCCTCCCTCCCCCATCCCCTCGTTTCGTATCCTGTTTTCAATTTCTTGGCTTACAGTGTTGCACTCCGTAGCCTATAAAACATTTTGTAGACGCGCTACCGCCCACAGTCTGGTAAGAGGAGAGGCAAGAAAATAAGGAAGATCAGTATATACAAAGACACTTTACTACGTTTATAGATGAGCGTTTTCACGGTTTTAAGACACCCAGCGAGAAACTTTAGAATCAAGCCAGTCTTAGTAAAATATCCTTAGAGTGGGAAGTAGGTTATTCTAAATCAAGGATCGGTTTAGATTAATGTTAGAAAGCACTTAGTCAAAAACGTTACTACATCCAACGCAGGAGGCAGTATAAATTACCTTCACTAAAATAGTCCACGGCACATGATACTGGTTAATGCGCTGTCAATCACAGCACAAAAGGGAGAAGTTGGTCTGGTAACAGATTTTTAAGTTCAGTGGACATGTGCACACATAGTAAGACATCTGAGGGGCTATGTAACGAACACTTTACCAATCAGCCAGGGTCTCTGGTACTAACAGGATGGCAATCAATACTGTTAACAAGGAGCAACCCCAGTGATACATTCTGTTGACCAAAATTTCATTACCAGAGACGTCACAGCACAGCAGGTATAGGGACGCGTTACGTGATTGGTGAGGGGCGGAGAGGGAGGCAGGAAAGCGCCACAGCACATAAAAACACGGTTAAACATCAAAATAATGTCAAACGTGCTGGAAAACACGCACTTACGAACCCTGATGTAAGGGTTTGGTTTTGTCTGGGGTTGACTATACTCAGAGTAGGAAGCAAGATTAATGCACCGAACCTATGGCTTTTCCGGCAGCCCTCTAAGCTCTGGCCGTTGTGGCCTCTGGATGGCCAGGCTGACACACAGGACACCAGATCTGGCGGGGTCTTGGGGCTGCAGGATCATGGCAAGCTGATTTCTCTTTTGTCTGATTCCTGTCCTATTTTGTGGAGGCCTTTAAGGCTCAAAGATGCATGAAAAATAACGTGCATTAAAACGCTCAAGATTATCTTTTAGCAACTCCAGCCAGCTCCTTGGAATTTTACCATCTTATTTTTACAAGAAAGCAGGAAACAGCAAGCTGGCTGTTGCCGATCCTGAATCACCTGACTTCTAAAGATATTTAAAAACTGAGGACTTCATTATAGAGGAGCTGGTGCTTTGAGAGCATTCAGTAATTGAGTATTACCGCAGGAGCCTGAATATCCAGCTTACTTCCACCCAAATCTCCTCTTTATCCTGACCTTGATTTGGCGGAAAACTGACTAGACGCCAGGAATGGAGTAAATGTGGGGAACCGAGGTCGTGTAAATCCAGTGGTTTAAGATAAGGAAAATTCTCTGTATGATAGAAATCTACTCAGCAATTTCTACAGCATCCTTTTAACGTGCCTAAGTCACTGATCACTATTCTGGTAGTTTTGCACCACTGCCCACGTAATCAGTACTCCAGGCGTGGGGAGAGATTTGGGACTGGCCCACTCACCTGCTCTTACCTGGCTCCCACTGTCAGTGATGAATTCACCTATGGTCTCTTTCTAGCTCAAGTAAAGCTGGTTCCTGTCATGTTAATTGCAAAGTGTTGGAGCTCGCTAGCCAGAGAATCTACACACTTCTTTTGGATGGTCCCTCAGAGAGAGAGAGAGAGAGAGAGAGAGAGAGAGGCAAACCCTAAGAGACTTTTAACTATAGAGAATACCCTGAGGGTTGAAGGAGGGAGGTAGGTTGGAGATGGGCTAGATGGGTGATGTGTCTTAAGGAGGGCACTTGTCGTGATGAGCACTGGGGTTTACACGTAAGTGATGAATCGCTAAATTCTACCCCTGAAACTAATATTACGTATAACTATATGTTAACTGGAATTTAAATGAAAACTTGAAACAAACAAACGTACAAACAAAAACAATCTCAAGGCAAAATTCCAGGCTAGAAAAAGCAATCGGGCTCACCGTATGTGAAAGACAGACACGTGGGCTCGTAATTAGCAGACACCACAACACGGGGTCCACCAATGTCTCATTTCAATAACGCTCCAGCAAAATTCCATGACCTTCAGCACTACACGACAAACCCACTTGCGACAAAGGAAACTGACCAACAGGTGAAGAGGGCCTCGTCTGCCAGAAAGGCAGCGTGTGACCTGGCATTTGAGCACATTGATCCGGATGGTCATTTAAGATCAGAGCTGAGCCAGCAAAAATCCCAAGGGAGGGATGATACCATCTCGAACAGCAGACCCAGCGGCTGCTGAGTCTTAGCCCTCAGGAAGTGCTGTACAATTGAAGCTGCATTACTTTGAACTCCCCAGGGGACACCGTGGGTTAACAGGTTGTACAGCCCTAAGGTGGCTCTTGGCATAATGATGCGATCTGGCATGGGTTTTCCCTCCTCTCGTGAGCCTCCATCGCTGTGAGACCCAGACAACTGTAACTAACCAAGACCCACACACTGGTCTGGACTTTCTGTGAGGGTAATGAAAAGCAAATGAAGAAAAGTACTTTTTTCTAAGAACTCAGCTACCAAATGTGAACTGTTGGTCCGTAAAAGAGAGAACAGGATACCATCACCACCACAATAGGATACTACACCTTGAGGTGAACCTCAAGGACATCATACTAATGAAACAAGCCAGACACACAGGGACAAATACTGTACTAGACTACAGTGGTCAAATTCATAGAGACAGAAAGCTGAATGCAGGCTTCCAGGGGCTGAGGGGAGAAGAAGGGGGAGGGGGGGGCTGGGTGGCTCAGTCGGTTGGGCAACTCGCTTCAACTCGGGTCATGATCTCATGGTCTGTGGGTTCGAGCCCCGCGTCGGGCTCTGTGCTGACAGCTCGGAGCCTGGAGCCTGCTTCAGATTCTGTGTCTCCTCTCTCTGCCCATCCCCCACTTGTGCTCCGTCTCTCTCTGTCTCTAAACGAACGAATGAATGAATGAATGAATGTATCTTGGGCGCCTGGGTGGCTCAGTAGGTTGAGCGTCCAACTTCAGCTTAGGTCACAATCTCACGGTTTGTGAGTTCAAGCCCCGCATCGGGCTCTGTGCTGACAGCTCAGAGCCTGGAGCCTGCTTCAGATTCTGTCTCCCTCTCTCTTCTCCTCCCCGCCTTGTGTTCTATCAAAAATACACGAAATCCAAAAATTTTTTTCAAAAAAAGAATCATTTAATGGGCATAGAATTGCAGTGCCCTAAGCTGAATGAAAAGAATTCTAGAGATTGGTTACACAATGTCAATGTACTTAACACTACTGTGCACTGAAAAAAACAGTTAAGATGGTAATATTTAATGTTATATATATATATATATATTAATACAGTTAAACTTTTTAAA